TTGTTAAGGATGTATTGGCTATACAGTCATCCCAAAAGTTTATGCACTTTAGAAACGCATTTTTTAAAAAGAAATCAGACGTCGGAAGAACATTGCTAATAATAAACAACAAAAAAAAATTTTCGATTTTTCCGAGATTTTTCCAAGGGGTACCCCTTCAATTTCTTCCAAATTTTCGTTTTTGGCCAATAACTCCCAAACCGTTGGAAATACGGAAAAATTGCATGAGACCTTTCTTGTAGAGGACGACGAGATCTACAATTTCCATGTAAAATTATTTCGCTAGCTTCGATAGTTTACGAGTAATTTGCAAAAAACTGTTTTTTCGTTTTTCGTCAATAACTCGTTAAATATTAATGCTAGCGAGAAACTTTTATATGGAAATTGTAGATCTCGTTGTCCTCTATAAAAAAGGTTATATGCAATTTTCCCGTAGAACCAACGGTTTAGGAGTTATTGAGGAAAAACGAAATTTTTTTCCAAAAGTTCGCCATTTCGACGGTGGGATGGTCGGATTTTGTCAACATGAATAAAATGCAAAATAATCATACGTAACTCGTTAAATATCGAAGTTAGAAGGAAAACAACTTTTCTTTGAATCATTTTTCGCAATTTTGAAAGAAAAAGAAAAATTTTCGTCAGCGTCAATACTTAATTGGATATTTCCTTCTATACTTTCTAGCACGTAGCTATTTATTATTAGCATTATTCTTCCGACGTCTGATTTCCTTTTTAATTATAGGAAATGCGTTTTTCTAAGGTACATAAACTTTTGGGATTGACTGTATAGCCAATACATCCGTTAAAGAGAGTAACTACTTCTCTCGTGCATAATTAACTCGGAAATGGTTCTCGATATTGAAGTCAAGACGGTTTGACTTTGAGACAATCAGATTTCGTACCAACTAATACTCCGCTATAAAGTGTCACTTACATCGGTGCTGCGACATGCTCCCATTTTTTATTGAGATTTGTTAAAATCAATTATTGATGTTTCATAACGTTCAGTGATCACGCAATATTATAATTAGTTATTATTATTGTTACTCGAGTGAAGAATGTATTTGTTAAAATACCTCGGAGAGCTGTGTGTGACCTGTTTATTAAAATCGTGCATACCGTAAATATGTAGTACACGTTTCTTGGTAAAAAATGAACTATTGCGAGTATCGGTACTCATTCTCTCTTGAAGTGAATTATTTTGTTCGTCGTAAATATTTGAGAAATAAAATTATTGTGAAACTAGTCTATCACGTCCACGCAACGGTGCACGGATTCGGTGTATTACAAGTTATCGATTCGCGGCGTCTACAAAATCCCGTAGCAATTTCGAAGAAATAGTGTCTATGTCGAAGCAATCTTCGCGCGTTCACATTCATTTGCTTTCCGGGACGGTGAGCGGTGACAAAAGTAAAGGGATGGTAATAAAGTAGCAAAATTTTGCAACCACACAAACGAGGAGCATAGTTTAATGAGCGAGTAGTTCGAAATTTCATTCCTTTCTCAGTAAGAACGATGAAATTGCGTGTTCGTGAACAATGAACTTGTACATTTTTCAACGACGGAAATATGTTGCAACGCTCGAAAGAAGCTCACCTCTGATAAAAGGGAATGGGACCTTCGTTGTCGGATACTAATTCTATACTGAACATCAATGACTTTCCGTAAACGCAATTGAATATTGGCCGCACGATGAAATGAATGAACTTCGTTCCCAATGACTTGTAATCAGCGCTTGAAAAGATATTCTCTCAGCTGATTGAAAATTCCAAAACTCAGTTAATTACTTTTATAATCGACCAAGAGTCACACAATAATTTTACTCTCTTTTATTAACACGAAGTTCATTCAAATTCGCTGTCGTGATTGATCAGATTCAAACCCAGTAATACATATCGTTACACACAGTATTCGTTGATCGTCCCAATCTCTAAATCCATCTCTCGCGCACACGTAAGAAAAGAGAGAACAAAGAGAGCACAGAGGAATACGTATGTATGAAACTGATTTGTTCCAACTAAGGTATGCGTGATGGACTCAACGAACGATTTTATCGGTGGGCGAGAGATCATCGGTTGCTGTATCGTGGGTCCCGCAACGGGAGCAGGGCTCGATGGAAGCGGAAGCCAAGGAAGGGAACACTGGCTTCACATGACGCAATCGCCGCGAAAAACCATCGCCATGTGGCATACGTTACATTAAACAGAAAGAAATTTATTCGTTTCGTCGATGTTTCGTTCATTGTGTACCATTTCCCGAGGAAATTTCGTGGCCACACGCTCTCTTTTCTGTCTCGTTGGATCGAACGAAAGGGGAGAAAATACAATCAAAGAGCGTAGGATAAATAATTGGTAAATGGTATACGTATCTAAACAACAGTAACAGTGTTATACATACATATATGTGAAAATCGCTTTATGGATGTACTTTGAAATAAGTAACGAACGAGTAAACCGCGGAAGGAAATGTATCTAAGCCCTCGTAAACCTATCCATGTTCCGCTGCACCAGATTTTTCGTAAGTTTGCCGCGACTTTCGATCCGGATGATTTGAGTAAAGGCCGCAGGGGATTTGACTGCGAGGTAACCAGCAGGGGCTCGTTTATTTGTTAAGCAGAGAATCGCGTTGGAATAATCGGAAAAATATTCTGAACCAGGAGGGGGAAGAGGAAGATTTATGCACGAAGGAGGAGACAATCGTTCCATTTATACATACAGTACTACTAACTATAAACACACAAACGCATACAAACACATATGTTGTATTTATATAATTTGTTTCTACTGTTGGCCAAGTGTATTTTACACGATTACGGAGATCATTGTCCCATTCACAGTAACGAATACGCGCGGTAACAATAGTTACGCTTCAATTGATAAGAAGTCGATCACGAATTTGCGTTACCAGTAGTAAAGGAATTAGAATTATTTCCTCGAAGTAATGTTCATGTAAACGCGATGATTCGAGCTATGTGTAAGTACAGCGACGTAGATCAGAATGGAAGGTAGGTTCTTCTAAACCCGACGTGTGATTTTCATTATTATAGCCGGAGACCACTAGAGGAACGAAGTATATAGGTATACATATGCACTTCTTAGGCCTAAGATTGTACTATGCAACAAAACTTACCTCAAGCAAGCTGCATAAGCAGCGCGTTTACGCGCCCTGCATAATACATAGTTTACAATCGAACTGACAAGAGCCTAAATAAAATGAAAACGATTCTCCTCCGATAACATACAATCTAATCGCGTTATCGTTGTTCACGTCGTAATTTACTCACGAGTACGTAAGCAGCAACAGAAAATGCAAAAAGATGAGGATCACGCCGTTCTATTATCGAGCTCGTGCGAGATCCGCGGAGTCTTACAATTAAACTAATATCCGGCTGCGCGAGAACATTTCCAAGTGAATAAAATGATATATCACACAAATCTTCCGACACGACTGAGGACAGAATACTTACGCACTTTTCAATTTTTTACGTTCCCGTTTTCGTACTTTCGCCAGAGACCTGAACTTGGGGACTTAATAAATTCCATGAAGACATGATGAAGTCTGATTTATACGAAAGATACATAACGAAGAAGCTGATACTGAGTATATAAAAGGATGGTGAATTTTTCCGACCAAAGTTTATCATATCATGTATAACTGATAATTTTTACGTAATTCCTGAGCTTAGATCTATTTATTGTTAATTTAAGAGAGTTCGATTAAGGAACCTGCCGTACTTATAAATATTTTAGGATCGTACGCGTGTTGCAGCGACCTAATGTGTTTCTGATCTGTTGGTTGTTATCTGGAAACGATTAAAAGAGACGTTATCTGGTGGAAAAAAAGAGTATGTGAATTAAATGTTGATCGTCGTTAAGTACGTCATAAACAATTATAAATATATGATATACGTATACTTAATATAATGATATACGGCTACGTGAGACATGACTGTATAATTGGAGGATTAACTAAAATGGTTTGTTGGGCAAGAAGCGCTTAAATTCACAAGCGTTGTCCGAATCGTACGCTTAACTTATACTTGACAGTATTTCTATTATATTCCGTGTACCATAAATGGTATTATGGCGTGGTATTTATATTAAAAAGAGAGAACGACGTATATATACACATACGTATACACTACGTTATATCCTTACATATAAATATGTTCTTATATGTATTATGTATACCGTCATAAATAGGTAATAAAACGATCATCTTGGGTGTCTAATACAGGCTTTCGTAACAGCTGTGACAACTTGTGTGTTACGATAACTTTGTGTCCCCCACATTTATACCATAAATAACGAGAGAAACGCATTTACGATGTCTTTCTATTTCTGTCATACGAGTTTTCATCTTTCAAAACTAATCCCGCGCATCGATTAAGCTTCAGCTCGTTCGATTACATTTTACTATTTACACACACCCTATTGTTGGACCTGAATTTGCCTTGCACTGTTAAAGGAGTGGGCAGCTCGTTCTCTTGAATCTTAAAAGTACCTCGAGAGCGGAGTATCTATAGGATAAATTTTATTTTAACATTTCACGCGTTCACAGACCGAGTTTGTACATCACATGAGCTGTTACTATTATTTACGATTTACCAAAATTTAAATAACATTTCGTTCGTCAGTCTCGAATAATTGCATTTAATTTAAAGCTTTCATCCGTCCCTCAAGTCTGTTAGATAAAGAAATAGATTTAAGGGTTGATTTGTTCTGTGCTTGGCTCATAAATTTTCCGTTCTCTGACATTCATTCGTATTTTCTCGTCTCTGATAATTTTAGTATTATTCGTAAACCCTAGTAGTCTCGAATTTGTTCAAGAGAGACAAAGTTGCTCGTTCCTCTACTATTACATATGTGATTGAACTTACAAATGATCGCACTTGCGATCCTTAATGATCGAGTCGTTCGACGTGATACTATGAAGAATAAAAAAACGATGGAAATGAAGTTTATAATTTTATCAGACGAAAAATAAAGAAGGCAGAGAAGAACTTTCTAATTAGCTGATTTTCTAAACATTTCGAATATGTCTCTTATCGTATTTACATATACATACATCGTAAGGAGTGTGCAATGTGTCCTAAATGTTAAGTGTAATCGATATTTTCTTGCAATGTATCCACAAAATTCGATTTGAAAATAAAGAATTACTTATTTCCGTCAAAGACCTATGCTTCATTCTGTCTGAAATCTATTATGCTAATCTTGTTTTCGCGCCTCCGTAATAAATGTCAACTCAAAACCGAGCGCGGACGAAATGAGACGAGACGAGACGAGCGATAAGTACGAGTGCTCTGATCGTGCTCGGCTGCTCTGCCGACCAGAGCGTACTGCTCGGATTACAATGTATAGAAAAGTAGAGTGCAATGGAAAAAATAAAAAAGCAACTTTCGCATATAGTATTTATTGTACAAATTTTATTTACACTTTGATATAAATATTTCAAGATTATCTATGCGGTATATTATATAAATACACGTAATCGCTCAATAATTCAATAATTTCTACAATAAATGATACAAAACAATCTCGAAATTTTTATTTATATTTCGACTGAGATCAAGCTATAAAGCAGCTGCTCTACACATTCGAAAATTATACGCATGTATTTAGATATTGTACATTCAATAATTAAAACATATTATTCACATTTTTTATCATGTTATCTGTGCTGGAAATGTCAACAAAATCTTTTGCACCTTTACGTCGTATCGACAATGCTATGTTCGCACCATTATTATGCCATTTGACTTTTAGCAGTACGCAACAACCCTTTTCTACATACATAAAAATATATATTTGATTAAAATGCGAATAAGCTATTATTATATGCCAATTATAGAAAATTTATATACCTAGTTGGCCTCGTTCGTGAGCAGCAGCTAATTGATTAACAACGCGTCTTTCCACCTCGTATTTAATGGAACGTGCTCCATAATGGGTGTCGTATCCCTCGGCCAGAAGTGACAAAACTTCCCTGTTCCACTTCAATTCTATTTTATGCTTCTCCCTCGCACGTTCTGCCCAAGCCTCTAATTCTTTGGCTACCAATCTTACAAGTTCTGATTGCGAGAACGGCAAAAAGTACACAATTTCGTTTATCCTGCCCAAAAATTCGTCTCTACGAAAATGTGCTTTTAATATCGGCCTCACCTGACAAATTCACGTTTCAGAGAGATTTAATTATGCTCCGAGCTAAGAACGTTAAACAATATACGAAGGAAGCTGACACGTACCACGTTATCTTTAAATTTTCGAGATATCTCGATGTGTTCTGGGTCATCCTCCGCAGTAAAATTTTTATCATGTTTCTGATCGAGAACACGTTGAGCTTCTTCGCGGAGTTGTACCGCATGATCAGCGATTACTTCGCTCGCTAAATTCGACGTCATTACGAAAATTGCATTTTTGCACTCGATCGTTTTTCCTTTCCCATCGGTAAGTCTTCCCTACGCAAGAAACACAATTTAACGTGATGTTGTACTGAAGGATTCTATATGAAAAAAAAAAAATTGTGACGTATACCTCATCGAAAAGCTGTAATAAAACGGTCAGTACATCCGGATGAGCTTTGTCGACCTCATCGAACAATACTACTGCATTTGGACACTTTCTCAAAAGTTTTGTTAATTGTCCACCATCATCGTGACCCACGTACCTAATATTTACATTATTTATTATGTGAAGAATAATATAAATGATACAACGTTAGTGTATCTACCCTGGTGGTGCTCCAATTAATTTAGCAACTTCGTGCTTCTCTTGATACTCGGACATATCCAGCCGAATAAACCCTTCTGCCCTATTTTTGTGGATATATGCAGCTAACTGCTTAGCCAATTCAGTTTTACCTATTCCTGATGAACCTAAGAATAGGAATACTAACGGATGTTTCTCATCTATCCATCCATTCTCTTTCCTTCGGATGGCTACAGTGACAGAAAACATCACGAAATGCATGTCCATCTAAATGTTAATCTTATAAATTACGTAAAGTATAACTTACTAGATGCGACAATGGATATCGCTCCGTCTTGACCTACAATATGTTGTTTCAAACGTTGCTCTAATGGAAATCTACGTCGTTCTTCTACTTCCTGTCAATAGTGTTTGTTGGTAAAGACATGAATGACAAATATAATATAAAAAAAAAAATTAAAGCTCGCGTAAGCATGTGTACCTTCTCCCTCATTATCTCATCGTACTTTACAGCATGTTTTAACAGCATATCTTTAATTTCTCTGTCTTTAGTATAATCTACAGCTTGATATCCAGCTTCGTTTTTTGTAGTTGGATTAGCTCCTGCCTCTAATAATGCTTGTACACACGCCTTCGAGTCTGATAATACAGCATAATGTAACGGAGTAAAACCTTTGAAGATGGCTTTAGTATTCAAATGATCAGAAAATTCTTCTTCTCTCGTCAAAAGTACTGAAAATTCATTCAATACTTAGAAAACGGTATTAATGAATATGATCTTCAAGTTTTAATTTTTCACCATCTAATGTGTCTATCCTCTTTTCTATCGCACTCCCATAAACGTTGATAAACTCGTCCTGAGCATTAACATCGGCACCATGTTTTAACAAAAGTTTTATAACTTCTGGTCTCCCGTTCATAGCAGCAACGTGCAACGCAGTCCAACCCAGCGGATGCCGCATATTAACGTCTATACCATCTTTTATAAGCTGTAAACAAGGATACAGTCTACTAATAAGTCTAAACATGAATATGAAGTGATATTGTTACTCACTTTCGTTAATTCTGCGACATTGCCATACTTGGCGGCATAGAAAAATTGTTTCTCTGTCATTATAAGATTTTAGTCATTAAATTTAGAGAGAACGTTTCACATAATATTACGTTATCACGTTATACACGATTACGAATACATACGTTTGTGCATATTTTTAGCTTCGCAAAGAGCTATGGTTATACCAAAACTGCTTAATATAAAACTCAGATTTTTGAAATGTTTTTTCCCATGGTTGTTGCTGTTGTCATGTTTCCAAGGCAGAACCTTAATTCTTGTTGACAAAGGACGAATTTCTAATACTTGGAGCATTTCGAGAAACTTATACACTGGATAAATATGTTTCTCAAGCTTGAAATGAAGCTGTGAGTAACCTCTTTCATCATGTTGTAAGATATTTCGTATTCGTTCTGCTATCCTTAGATTCGAATTGCTTATCAAAATTGTTGATCGTTTAGTTCCTTTCACCATCGAATAAAATCTCGAGTTACACAAACGTGACATTTTCCAAGAACTTTATACACTTGTGCAGTACTGAAAGCCATGCAATCTTATCTCATATGATTAACTCTTTACTGATATTGATATATAAATGCATTGAACAGCTGCCAATATTCGGTTACGATCTGCTATCGTTCACGTTATATTTACGTTTTTCTACTAGTGTTACTCTAGGAATGATTTCAATTCATTATTTTTGAAACGTACAAATTGTACCGGCCAGGACTATACGCTCTGTACATACCTACATTGTAAACCGAACAGTTTAGGAAATCGTGACGATGCAAGACATATATTTATTAAGACAGTCTTTTCTCAACTCGAAAGGAAATGATATAATTAACAAGTAATACGCAGTAAATGTATACAGGAAGAACGCATAATTGTTTATTAAAAGACAAATATAAGTAGAATATATATATATATATATATATATATGTATGTATATGTCGCGACGATAGAGCTACAAATGTTGCAGTAAATATACACGTGTTGAACCAGATTTGAATGCGATTTCAGTGTTTTATAATTTGTCTCACGTCGGACCACGTCGGACATATTGTTGCACACACCAATCATACTTGGGCTCGAGCGCAGAGTGCACTATATACATAGATTTAAAATCTTCGAAGAACGATGTGGCATGGACTCTATACCGTAGACGAAGAAAAAGAAACAAATCCTTTGAAATCGACCCTGTATGGTTGGGTAAAGGTAATCCTTATCGCATGCTCTTATAATCTGTTTTTCATATTGATCCGTTAGTTTCGATCATTCGAGAAACGAAACTGACGATTCGAGTAATTCCAGAATATTCCAGAGCAAGCGACTGGCCAATAAGAGTAGTATACTGCAGCGCCATGATTGGTGAGTTTTCAGAGTGGAAGTTAGCAGAAAGAAGTAATCGCAGTTATCGTGCGAAGGGCATTTTGTTCAGACTATCGCGTGATAGTGAGGCGAGTAGGTAATTCATCGAATTTGTGAATACGATAATTACAAACGTGTATTCGAGACGATTTGTATTCGATTGTACATTATTCCGAAGAGTCGGTATTTAATCACGTGTTTGCGAGCAACGATTTGTTTAGTGTCGTAAAGAGAACGTCGTGCAACCAGCCTATCAGCCATGGCTGCTATGTCGGTGATCGGAATTGACTTTGGTAACGAAAGCTGTTATGTGGCTGTGGCACGAGCAGGAGGCATTGAAACCATAGCCAACGATTACAGTCTTCGAAATACACCGTAAGTCTCCTTTGGTAAATTAAATGTCCTGGTTTTTCCTGGTTCTGAAGAAGATGACCGGTGTAGTAGGTGCTCGCCGGTCACTTTGTGCATCTGTCTAGAACCTACGATCCTTTTCATAATTACATAAAAATTTAACAATTAAAAATAATGTACAAATCATGGTTGTACGAGTAGCATGTAAAATTAAAAAAAAAAGTATCAATTCGATCAGTAACATTTTCGATACGTGTACGTTCACGTTTCTGTCTCTGTATTTGTATATTTTGCTCTTAATAGTTTCACATGACTAAGAAGCACAAAAAAGTCCATAGCAGCTACTTATGATATACTACGGATCGTCTTTTCTGTATTTGAAATTGACGCTCGCATATGAGTCAGAATCCACAATTGATTTACGTAAGAATTAATGTAATGAATAAAGCCGCGATCCGCTGTCGTCGATTCCTCGTCTATCTGTACAAAAACTAGAGGAAGTTACGTGATCTAAATTAAATCTGTTCAAAGTTATTTAAGCATCATACTAATTTCCATTCAGTATTTGTTGATAAAATGTTACGATAAATTGATGTAGGTAAATTACTTACTTTAAATGTTTTACATTCTCTTTACCCAAAATTAAAATAATAAATCAAAATTATTTGGGAAATATGCATATAATAATTAATATGTTGAATTGTGTATAATAATAGAGTCTGAAATATTATGCATTTATATTTCTCATGTACGTTTGTTTCTCATTCAAATTAAATTCTTGTACATCATATTAATAAAATTGTATCTAAATTTATAATCATTACTGAAATTTTGTTAGACTTTGTCCAACTATATTAGAGCATTCATGGATTTAAAAGATTGTTGGGTAGAAAATACAATGACCCACAAACGCAGAGAGAGCTGCAGATGTTACCATTTAAGGTAACTCAACAATCAGACGGAAGCATCGGTATACATGTAAGTCCTCTTTATTAAAAATTTAAATCTCCTTCCTTATGACAACAAATTGTTTTCTATATAAATTTGATGATGATAAACAATTATAATAACATAATAAATGTTCCCGAACTAGGGAGACTTTTTAAATTATGATATCAGTTTAATGTTAGTTAGTTTGAATTTGGGCACTCCGCCAGATAGTCACATTTGTAGGGATTCATATCTTATTTATATCTTCTTAAAGCGTTTCAAACGTACGATGATGAATCATATCAGGTGTAATTTCTGTCGGGATCATATATGTAGTGATAGGATCGTCATGATAACAACAATATTCATTAATGTCTGTATGTAAATTTCAGGTACAGTATTTGGGAGAAGAACACGTTTTTTCGCCTGAACAAATAACTGCAATGTTGTTCACAAAATTAAAAGATATATCTGAGACAGCTCTTCAAACTATCGTTAACGATTGTGTCATTTCGGTTCCTTCGTATTACACACAAGCCGAACGACAGGCGTTGCTCGATGCCGCACGAATTGCTGGTTTAAATGTTCTTAGATTATTTAATGAAACCACAGCTACTGCTTTGTGCTACGGTATTTATAAACAAGATTTGCCAGCACCTGATTCACATCCTAGAAATGTAGTTTTCGTTGACTGCGGGTATGCAAGCTTACAAGTAAGCATTTGTGCATTCCACAAAGGGAAACTGAAGGTGAGTACAATAATTCTAGTTAATATAGCGTAATCATCTCGCGTGTCAGACGTGGTGGAGTCGTAAAAGTATAAAACTGGTTTTTATTTTCAGATGCTAGCGAGTACTGCCGATAGCCAGTTGGGTGGGAGAGATATAGATTCTATTTTAGCAGAACACTTCTGTAAAGATTTCCAGTCACGTTATAATATTGATCCACACACAAATCCACGTGCATATATACGACTACTGGGAGAAGTAGAAAAATTGAAGAAACAAATGTCGGCCAATTCGACGATGCTTCCTCTTAACATTGAATGTTTCATGGACGAGAAAGATGTTCACGGTGAAATGAAGCGAGCCGATATGGAATCGATGTGTGCACATTTATTTAAACGCGTCGAACAAACTTTGCGTCAATGTTTAGAAGATTCTAGTAAATGTCACTGCATCTATAATTTTATAATGTCAATGTAATCAAGTTTCACAAATTTTTTCATTTAAATTGACATTACAATTTACTTGTAGAATTGAAGTTGGACGAAATTCATTCAGTTGAATTAGCTGGAGGTTCTAGCCGTGTTCCTGCTATTAAACGATTAGTCGAAGAAGTGTTTGGTCGTCCTGTATCTACGACATTGAATCAAGACGAGTCGGTCGCTCGAGGATGCGCGCTACAGTGTGCTATGTTGAGTCCCGCTGTAAGAGTTCGTGACTTTTCAGTGACTGATATTCAACCGTTTCCAATCAAGTTAACGTGGGATCCTACTCAAGGCGAAGATGGGTACGTTAATCTTTCCACTTGACATATGATAAACTGAAGTGTTTGTCTGAATTTTTAGTAACTACTTGTCTGATCTGTCTGTTTTATCTATCGTTCCAGAGAAATGCAGGTCTTTGGACAGAATCATCCAGTACCATTCTCAAAAATGTTAACGTTCTATCGATCGAGCCCATTCACGCTCACTGCCACTTATAATGTACAACCATCACATTTTCCACAAACTCTCATTGGTTAGTATTTGCTTTGTTGACAGTTTTTTTTTTATGAATTTGTACCGCCAACATTACTTTCTTCAGGTGTGTTTACAATAAAAAATGTTAAACCGACGGCGGAAGGAGAATTGTCGAAAGTAAAAGTGAAAGTGAGGATAAATCTGAATGGGATTCTTACCATCGCCTCGGCATCGTTAGTTGAGAAACGTGAACTTACCCAACAAGAAAAAGAGGAGGAAGAGAAACTGCAACAGCAGCAGCAGCAGCAGCAGCAGCAGCAGCAGCAGCAAAACAATATGGATGTTGATCATTCGGCAGATAAAAAGGATAAACCTGATCAAGAAGCACAAGCAAATGAACCACCGGCACCCGAAGTACGTGCATTTTCGGTTTTTGTTAAAACCTTGCATAAATTTATTTTTAATTATCTTGAACCATGTATCCCAGTAACATGTTTATAAAATTATACTACTATACTTATTCGATGTGATTCTTATTCAACTGAGCAAAATAATATTACAAAAAATGGATTGTTTATAGAGTGCTTGACGTTTTTGATACTCGCTGCGTTACGATAACATATGAATAAAATGAAATTAACAAGTATTTCTTTCTAGGATTTAACTCTCGTAGACGTACAATATTTTCTCATATGCTTTGCGCGTGTCTGATGCATGCATTATGTGAGTTTGTTGTGGTTTAGGTGAGCATGGATAAAACGCGACGGAACTCAGATGCTGATGATGGTGGAAGAAGTGCGAGGGGTTCATACTCCAGGATTCTCTCTTGGTTCAGCTCGGTACGCGACACACTATCATTACTTGGACCCATATGTTAACTGAAAGATGTGCAATAATTTGTGACTTTTGCTTAGGTTGTCCTATTGTTATACTCGTAATTGCTACGTGACAATAGCTTTTTCGTATGTGAAGATGGCGTATATTTTTTTTTATTTCTTTCATCGTGTCAGCGTCAACATCACTTGATAATAGCGTTAAGGTCATGGCAGCCCGTAAGATTTAAATATCCTGCATGACATATAAGATCGCGTGTTTCTTACACACACACACACACACACACACACACGTATTTCGTATTTATATTAGAGAATGTTATAACGCTTAACGAGAATTGAAGTTGATCATAATTCACTGTGGGATTTGAGCTGCTCTATTTACATTTACTTTGGAGTATATATCAGAGTCGATGAATTTGCAAGTGCAAACATTACGAATTGTTGATGGGCTAGAAACTGTTTTACACACTGTAGTATCTCTTTAGTGCATGATATTTAATTACGTTCAATGTTTTTATTTTCTAAATCTGTGTCGATTTCTTCTGCAAACTCGGTTAATTATAGCGATATTACGATAAAAATGATTAGTATTTGATTTTTGAAAGGATAGTAAATACTATTTCGGTAATTGCAAACGTTTGCATAATATGATTACGTGTAATGTAGTTTAATTTATATGGGTCCAAGGTGCAGCTGTGTCTCACGCCGTGCTGTCTGTCTTTGCTCAGTTATTCTTTTTAACTGGGTCGCAGAAGGAAAAGAGACAGTCATTTTTACGATACAATAGCTAACAGTATGTGTTAAAATTGTGAAGGCAGGCAATTTTCGGTTCGGTTTTCGATTCCTGCAATAATTTTACATTAATATCCTCTCACCCATGTCACACGTGTTTACGTAATGGTTTCAAATTTTAAGTACGACGAATCGAAAACTGCTCGCATAAAGATTAACGCCTCTCTTTGTCTTCTGCTCATTTCTATCATCACCTAATTCCCAATTGATGTGTGCCCAACTTTAACATATTTTAGTTACAGTGGCATTACTATATTTATTTTATTTGCCGTAATTACGAGTAACTCTCGACGAAAAATAACAAATTATTTTCAAATTGTCTGACGAATTGTTCATAGAAATGAGAAAACGTGACAGTAGATCGAGTTAAAACATCAAGTTAAAAATATCGTGTATTGTAATTTTTCAGGGCGACGATAAAAATGAAGATGGCAAAGGGAAAAAGAAAGTTCCTGTTCGTACTGTTGATTTACCGATAGAGGTACGTGGATTCGGACTTGCCCAACGTGAACTGGATGCAGCGTTGGAGAAAGAGGTAAGTCTACGTATAAATGTGAGATACATATTTGTAACCAGCGTCCGTCGTGGCAAATCCACTTTTGCGTATTGTAGTGTAAAATGATCGCTGAGGATAAGCAAGAAAAGGAACGCGTTGATGCACGTAACGCACTAGAAGAATATGTTTATGATTTACGGTCTAAATTGTCGGACGACGATCAGCTGGCTACGTTTATCGCGGAGCCAGACAAAGAAGCACTTTGTCGCACGTTAGATGAAACCGAGAACTGGTTATACGAAGAAGGTGAGGATTGTCAGCGACAAGTTTACTCAGAACGATTGACGCGCCTTAAGGTAAGTTACATTTACGTCGAATCTAAATGCGTTGCCATTAGACGCATTGCCATTTCGAAAGTGAAAAACCGTCTTCACTCATCAGTCACAAGGTGAACCGATCAAGGAAAGGCGAATGGAGTTTGAAGGCAGGGGTCAAGCGTTAGAAGAGTTGGGAGTAGCTTTGCTGCTTACCACCAAAGCGGTACATGAAATCAAAGCATCCAGTGGTAAGGATGATAAGTATGCCCATATAACGGAAGAGGAAGTGGAGAAGGTCGAGAAAACGTTACATGAAAAATGGAAGTGGCTCGAAGAGAAACGTGCGTCCTTCGCCAGTGCACATCGCACCCAACAACCTCAAGTCACTATAGCTCAAATCCGAGCCGAGAAACAGGTGAAGTAAAATTTTTCGCATACATGCAAATAAATTATGAGCGTCGTTTAGACGTTGTTATTTTCATGGATTTCATTCACGTTCTACAGTTACTGGATAATATCGTGTTACCAATTTTAAATAAACCAAAATCTAAAGTCGAGCCACCTAAGGAAGAGAAACCTAAAGATAAGGCTGGTGAAGAACAACAGAAAAGCAAACAAAATAGTCAGAGTAGCGATAGTGGTGGTCATCCACAAACTAATCAGCAGCAGCCTGTAGAAGATATGATGGATATTGAGTAACGCTCATCCTCCTACTTTATGTGTTTTAATACTACTGAAACTACGCATGATTAAAACAACAAAAATTATTTCATCGTACGAATCATTTTTATCATGTCACAAAAGCGCCTGATCTACTTTCAGTTAGCCATGTATGAGCGTTTTTCTTTCTTTTCTTTTCTTTTCTCATTGCAGTTTATTCATCGTGATGAATTTACTTATTTAAGGACACACGTGTATCGCTAATTTAAGTGTATTGAAGAATTCGAAGAATTTTTTTTATAAATCCATTAGGTTTGCGTAGTTACTTTTTCACGTCGTCGATCGACATTATTATTTCACAGACAAATAATGATATGTGAAACTCGTGGAGATCTTACAAAGTAGGGTGTCCGAATTTTGTTAAATTCATTTAGTGAAGGAGCATGAGCAAGTACACGTTATACCTTCGTTCTCATTAATAAATACTAATTAATAGCTGCTAAATAATGTACAGAGCTTGTAGCAATTGCCTTCCACCACGAGGGAATTGTTGAAAAACGTTATCTCTAATTGTCTAAATAAAAAAATTCTTCAATGTTTTCGTATGCTTTTTAGGAAGATTTTATGAATAAAATTTTGTGCCAGCGGAGTGCTCGAAAGAAAACCCCTGAAATCTTTTGCCGGTAGATTTCATTATACATTGTAACCTATACATACATAGGGACGAACACTAAGTTAGTAGATGATTAAATTAAATTGTGAAGTAAGTAATATCGCTGGCGATCTTATGTATTTAATATGATATAATAAGCATTCATTCCAACACTTTCCCGGGTCGACGACAAGATATTTTGTCACGAAAACTTTTGTTGCATTTACGATACTTGAATAAATTAATACATCAATAACTGACAGTTTACGAAGCTTGTTCTAGTAGGATTTGCTTGCAGCATTCAGCAGTGGTACTTATGTCGAGAGGAATCACTAACTTGAAATCTGTACATACAACGATATTTTGTTTGAATGTTGTCGAAAGCTTATATCAAGTTTATTAAAATTTAAACATAGTTAGATACATACTGTACATAATCCGTAGTTTTTCACAAAGTAAACTTTGTTTCTTTTTCTAACTTTTTGTTCCTCATTGGTACTAAAGAAAAATCTACGGATCTGTTGTCGCGCGTGTTTGTATACCAATTGTGATTTATTTTATTCGGTCAAAGTAAAGAAAATTACTACTACCTTCTACTATTATTACGGGCGGATTTCTAGCTGTTTTACTACTTTCTTCTATCTTTTAATTTTCTCTTACATTGTTTTATACAGTTAACCGAGAACGGCAGCCTTTAAAGGTGTGAATTCGCCTCCTGATCGTTCTAGTACTACTGTGATTGCAAAGTGCACTACGATTAATTTATTCGTCTGATACCGTCAACTACTGAGGCACTATCAACTACTAATGATCTGTTGCAAGGTTTCATGAACATGAAATGAAATTGATATTCTACATGTGTATATGTACATTACAAAGTTCGTGCTGTACGATATGTGCAAGTATTGTGTGGGAATGTCATGCTTTTTGATTTGACAATGACTTTGTTCATTGATACAAGTATAAATTTACTCGTTGTATACACACAATTCACAGTATTCAATAAAACGGAAAATAATATTAGTTAAAGAATGTAACATTTTTCGTTTGACGTTGGGCATACACAAAAATGTGTTATCAACATTGTGTGTACTTAATTACATATGTGTTTTGAACGTAGGCAAACAATTAGTCTTGCTTCGTTTGCGTCTTTGATTGATCGTCGAAGTATGCGCGGTATATGAAAGCAGCTAGTGCAATGTGTAACACGATGATCGCGACCCCAGCTGAGTATACATTGCTTGGTATACTATTAATTCCCAACAAACCTAAAAATGTACAAAACTCTATAGTTTGAAACATTGACATTATATTAAAATTATATTAAACAAAATTATGTTCTTGTATAATTCCTATATACAGTACATTCTAAATCGTAAAATATTGCATACTGTCAGTTATAATAAATTTATAACGTCGAAACAAGGTTCAAGTATTTGGAATGTAATATTGTACAATTACACGTACCGTCAAAGATAAAGGTTTTGCTAATAAAAAATGATAACACAGGTAAGGCTAATATCACTACACAGTGAAATAATACTGTTCTGAAGACTTGAAGTTCTGGTAATTCCTGTAAACAGAAACACACACATATATATATTAACAGTTTAACTTTGTGTAAACACAATGAGTGACACGTTGATACTATATAATATAGATATAAAACGTACCTTTGCATTTGCCATGATGTAAATATAATTTCAAATAATTAATGTTCTCTATTCACAAAATATACTTTGATCAGAATATAAGTATAACAGAACTTAAAGTAGCACAAAATATTATCATTATATCGCTGATTTCTAAAAGTACAATTTAGCTCTTATTGCAAGAGCAAATTGCAAATGAATAATCTTATTTAAATAGCAACTTTGGGACTCATTTGCCTTGCTATTTCGATTGCACTATCTTGTGACACAACACGTACTTGAGTGCGTTTAACTTTCGTACAATAAAAAGTGAAAGAATATCATTTCTTAACTAACATGACAACCATTTCCCTGCTTGAAACGGAGAATTCGATCACGCCTTATCTTCCGAATGCTTGTGACTGCTTGTGACTTAGGTTATATTATTTTATGTGTTGCAAACACGATATTAGTTCCAGCCTCCAGCACCAGCAGAGACCGTGGAGTGGAACCGCAACTCGTCAAGTGCTGCTGACACCGAGGAGAGATGGGAGATATGGGAGAGATCATGAGATTAAAACATAAGGTGTGTTCTTGCGCATCCATTTGTACATCCATCTGTACACGGACACTTCCACTCGTTGGCCATTTTGGATTTCTAACCAATCACACTTCATATTAAAACAGAGCGAATTTAAAAATCGTAAACATGTCAAAAATTAGGTTCTCGATTCTCGGAGAGTAATATATATGCGTGTTCGAAATAAACAATAGATCATCGTACTTCCAATATGGCCGATGAGTGGAAGGCGCAAACAGCGACACATTTGAACACCCCGGAAGAACACACCTTATGTTTTTACATCATGGTACGGTTTAATATAGATATAAGAGGAACATGAAGAGGAAGAACAGCGACAACACCAGCTGATTGACACAGGTCTTCTCTCTATACCGACGTGCGATTTCCAGTGTCGGTTTGAGCATTCTACAAATGCATCGCTAGGTGGCGAATAATGAATTTTTCAATAAAAAATTTAAATACTGAAATTTGTGAATTCTTAAATACTTCATTACACTTCCAATTTTCGTTTCATAACAGTTTTCTTATATTTTCGCTTGTAATCGGTTCTTAGATAGGTAAGATACGTGAAATTTCTAGAAAATCTACTGTGCTCCGGTGCGAACACGGCAAACATGTAAGAAGAACACGCGCAGTCGCAGGGGTTAGGTGATATTGGTCCGTCGAGAGGAGGAGGATGGGTCGCAGTGTTGCGTAGTAGGAAGTAGGAAGGAAGGTTGTTTCATTGGTAACAGGATCTGTTTTTTAAATCTTATGAGAGGAGACGATACGATGACGAGTGATACCGGTTCACGTTTTCGCGTGCGCTGCGTAAACACGTCAATTGAAAATGTCAGGACTAAGTGTACGAGCGGTGACAATGAATTGTGATCCTAGTAGTTGTCCTCGTTCGATCAAAAAATCCTTGTCGGGCATTGTCCGTTCCTTTCCTGGTTGTTGTTCACGTTGCTACTCGATAACACCGATCTATCGACACGGTCGACCGTGGAATGGCAGCAGCTTTAAAAAAAAATCATTCACGCAGAAGGTTGGCCGCGCTAACATTCCTCTCGAACATCTCCCTCGATGGCAGTCACCGCGACACTAAGCTAGCTGTTTTATCGCGGACCGGTGTTGCCCACACACGTACGTTGAGCGACAGTCAAGCTCATCGGGTACGAGATGTTCATCAGAACGATTTGAATGCTTCTACTGAGGAGGTTCTTGACGATTGTAAAGAAGAGCATTCAGTACCCTCGTCTGTGAAGCAAACGAGCTCGCCACAATTAGTGCCAAAAAGTGGGGAACATAATTCATTTAGTTCAAATTCTGATGGATTGTTGACTCCCGCGAAAGCAGCAGTAGCTGTATTCCTGGAGCAAGAAAGAAATTATCCACAGCTTCCTACTGGATTTCATAGTTCATTCAGAGAACGGTAAACATAATGATTTATTAAGTTCCTTCTACGTGTGATTTGTATATTCCATCCTACTCTGTACACTTATTGCTGCAGTTCATTTACAAAAACTATTTTTTATGTCTTAAGAGTAAACAGGATATCAGTATGAATTACAGTTCGCTTTATAGATGTTATATAAATCTTATGTTTCGTTTCTGTGAATGTTATGTGAATCAAAACATAGACAATTCGATGCGTTATCTTATTCTTTTCCGACAAAATTGATTATACTTGTAACTTTTATTATTTATGATTGTTACCTAATTCAAGAACAAATGGAACAATTCATTAAAATTGCACATACAATTATATAATACATATTGCATTCTTGAAGTATCTACTTCCATTGTTGAACCTAAATTTGCTTTTCTTGATACTAATCTAATTAAAGAGAACCGTATCTATAGTATTGTGCAACATATTATATGTGTTATATCCAGTCATATGTTAGAATGATGCAATTCTAAAATAAAAGTATGAAGTGAAAGTAATTAGTAGTAAATATAATGTAAAGTAATTCTGATTTTTGATAATTAAAATTCTTCAATTGGTTGTATGCATAGAATTTATATTTTATATTTTGGGAGTTGTACAATTAGTATTTTTTATTACGGTGAAAAAGAAGGCTTGCTTCTATGATCTGTTTGAGATTATTGTAGCTATTAATAATATATTTCGAATATATTATTGTAAAAGAGGACATGCTATATATCTATTTTTATTTCTCAGTACTGGCACAACTGGCAGCGAATATTCATTACCCGAAAGACGAGTGGGTTCTTTACAATATAAGAAGCGAATAACTCATCAAACTTCTACACTTTCTGAGGACATAAAGCATCAGTATAACAGTTCCAATGAGAGTATTGGTTCTCTACGTTCCAAACCATCATCAAAGTCGAAAGCAAAAGCGTCAAATAATGTGCAATCCGGTTCTGCGAACAGCGGCATAATACCAGAAGTTACAAAGGAGTTACGTTTAATGCAACGCCCAGTGAATGGCTACAAATTCGGAGATGATAGACTGGTATTGGTGTCTAATAAACGTGTGCCATTCTTAGTATTCTCTGCTCTTCCATATAACAAAGGGCAGAGATCTAGTTGGTAAGAATTCTACGTTACATGAGATTGTACACGTTTGGTCTATGTACTATTATCAAATTTTCCCTTCCCATCCATAGGTCAGAGTTACGTAAGGATACAGGGCGACGGAAAAATATTGTTTCACAAAGACCATTGTCGGCGATCAATGATAACATTGACCCTTTCGGTTTATTGGGTATAGAACGTGCCAAAGACGGCCAGGTATTTAGAAAATACGAAACGGATCAATGATGTTAGATTTTTGAAAATAATACAGATTGTTTTCAGGAAATATCATATGGACAACTGCTTGTTCCATCTAGGCAGTTTCAGAAGGAGAAAAAATTACATTTTAGCGATAATGATACGATAGAATTGATACCTAACAAGCATCCTGTAGTTTCAAGGTATTCAATTGAAATCAATGTATTTGTGCCTTTACGCAATATCTTGTTCCAAATCAAATGATTAATTATTAAGATTAACAAATTCTATATTGCATAAAATTTGGATCGATTTCTGTACGCTCCCCTCTTATACATTTCCAATCATCTTTCATTCGTCCTCGCTAACTGTCTTCACAGAGCATGCATCACATTATTTTTTTTATCTTATAACAAAATTTTTCAAC